AAAAAAACAAAACAAACAAACAAACAAAGGCAAAACAAACAAAACAAAACAAAAAATAAAAATAAAAAAGCAAGACCCTTCCCACCTCCATCAACCAGTTCCTGCCCTCCCCATCCCACCCCAATCTTTATAAACAGAAGATAAAAAACGATAGTGAACAGAAGAGTCAGTTACTCAACATGTCAGCGAACATTTCATCATCTTCACATGTTGAGCTTTTCCAGTTATGAAAAAGCGTCAGTCAGTCAGTCGGGTGTCAGCACTCAGCTTGTGACAGCTTGAACAGATGAGAAAAAGGCCGACACTGTCCATCCCAGCGTGACACTCACTCACTGCTCCACAGATGAAGCTGTGTGTGTGTGTGTGTGTGTGTGTGTGTGCGGCCTGTTCAGACCTGCCTGCCTCATATCGTAAGAATTTCATCTCACCCTCCCACTCATAAACTTTATGTCCTCACATTCAAACTTTCATCATAACTTCTAACCTGTGTCTCACATTTAGAGCAGCAGCGCGTGCTCACCTAGACATCTCCGCCTTATCTCAAACATCACACTCGTTATATATTTCAGCTCAATCCTGCTCCGGCTGCCTTTTCACATTTGATCTCAGACGACGAGAGAAAGAGCGATTGTTCAACTTTCATAATCTCTTTCCGAGGAAACAAAAATTAGATTCACAGCAAAATCAGTTCATCAAGTTATGACAGCCGTAGACTGTGTTTACCTGTTGGGGAAGTTTTATTTGTTTGATTTAAGATTACATTCTCTTTCTCATAAAGTTTTAAACTAAAGCAGCAGACAATATGTGGCACTTGGACACAAATGCAGAATTTATCTTTAAGCCCTAACAGGACATGCATTTATACCAAGCAGCAACCTCCTGGGTTGAAAAATGATACCAGTGCAAAAAACTGCAGTACCTTGAGTGTCCACTTGAGGCTGTCTCTAAAAGTGAAGGAATCCCCAGCAGGTCCCATTTTTACAGTAGAAATATAAAGGTTTACAGCCTGGTTAAAAGGCAGATTAGGTCTCAATAGCTCATTACTTCATTGGTAAAAACTGTCAAAGGGATGATTTTTTTTTAAACTCATCCATTTAGATTAAATTTGCATATTTAGAAGCAGAAGCTCCGCCTCTTTGTCTGTTTCTAGATTAATCAATATTAAAGTTGACCTATTATTCTGATTTCCATTTAAAACTCACATAAAGTGCTACAATGCTGGACGCTCATGCCAAACGTGGGCAAAGTTTCATATCATGAGGTAAACATTAACGGCTAAATGGCTTTTTTCTGCAAATCACGAGATAGTCCCCCGATATGAAACAAAGTATTTCACAAGACGGCTTCAAACCTCTTACACGCGCTCTCTTCTCCCAGCACTGGAGCGCTGCACTCTCCTGACAGCCCTGCAGCGTTCTGCACCTAAAAGGCTTCAAGAGAGCTGGCCAATCAGGAGAAAAGGGGCACATGGGGTCTTAAAGAGACAGCAGCTGAAATGAGCCGTTTCAGGCAGAAGCTGAAATTAGGTTTCTTACAGACGCCATGATAAGATTAAAAAAAGAGGTTTTTGTGCTGCAAATCATGCAAAGCCTGTCTATAGGTTTCACAGACTGACAAAATGAAAGGTGAAAATAAGGATTAAGTTAGAGCATTTCCAATACGGCTTTAAAACACCTCTTCAGAAACTGATGGGTGATGTCACTGAGACTACTCCCATAGTACAGTCTATGATTCATACATTTCATTCTCTACATTCCTGTGATCATGAGTCATTTGTTGTTGTCGATTTGAAATCTTGACTTTTTTTTAAACTTATAGGCTTTATATGCGATTTTTTGATCCAGCAGGTGTCGCCCTTGAGCACCAGCATGAAACCAAAACAACTTGCACTGCATTGTTGTGTTAGCATGCTAATGCTAGTGATCTTTATTATGCTGGTATCTTCACACTGCATGTAAATTTACCTGAAATGAGCGTGATCTAGAAACACAGTTAAGCAGTGAGTACAGTATGTTATTCTTCTTTTCTCTAGTCCCTCAATTAAACAACTTTTATACACGAGGGGAGGAGTCAGCCAGCTGTCCCGACGATGTAAACAAACTGAAGATAGGACTCTGAAAGGACTGAAAACATCACAGACAGTGGGACTCGGGTGTTACACCCATTGTAGACAGTCATGACTCTCAGAGTTATTTTCAGAGGATATACTTGATTTATATTACATTTAAGTGTGAAAAATCACATAGAAAGACTTTAAGTCTGTTTCTATTTTTGTTTTGTGTTTTTGTAAAAAATGGGGATACGAGAAAAATAAGTTGAGATCTCGAAAAAAACAATGGTAGCCCACTCCTCATCAAGTGAACCCAGATCAAATCAAATGTGTAGATATATGTCTGCTTGGGGCTTCCGTAGTTTAATGGAGTCCTGTAGCCTTTTGTCTTTCTCCGTCTGATAGTATGCAGATCCCTTCATTGCTATACAGTAATTATTAATAAGAGGG